CCCCACCCCACCCATCCCCCCCACCTCTCCTGTTGGTCCCTATTTAACAGTATTCACAAGAATGAACAAACTCATCCAGGAGAAAGCAACACAGTCATACAGTGGGTTTTAACGTGATGTTGCGAGAAAAAAACAAAACAAAATTGAGGCGCTTAAAGGAAGTGAACTGTCCTCTGCAGGTCTGGAAAAATGAACCTTAAATAAAACTGAAAACTTAGAGCTGGTGTTTGTCTGCTGTTGTGTTTCAACACCCCCGACTCGAATATGTACACTGATAAATATTTAAACTTTAAAGTACTCACCACTATACTGTACATAACTCTCCAGGAAGGTCACTATAAATCACTGCTGGCTGTCGTTCCAATGTCTTCCACTAGGGGGCAGATCACTTTGTGTCAGTGATGAAGCTCTGCAGTCAAACTTCAGTCGAGCACACACAAGGTTACAAAGAGAGACTCTACAGTTTTTCAGGTGCACCAAGTTGTTTTTCCACTAAATAACAATTCAAACAGTTTTCAGCATTCATTGGGCAAATATAAACGATTAAATGCAGCTATAATTCAGATGAGATTGAGGTGTTTTCAATGCCGTATGTTCTGCCTCTTCAGTGTAGTTGCACTGCTGGGAGCCGAGCATGCGTGCTTATTGCAGCCCTTCACTTTGCAGCTCTTCACTTTGCAGCTCTGCACTCTCCCCGGCCAATGCAGCAGTAGATACCTGCAGCAGAGACTTTTTTTCTGTGTCCTTTGGGACTTCTGACAGACGGGGAGGAGCACAGTTAATACTCGCACTGTGGCTTTAATATTTATACACTTATAGATATCTTAGAGTCAGGTGCAATATCAATATAGTCTGTGAATGACAACAAACACATGATTTTATGACATTTTTTGCAGTGTTTTGGAAGCCAATCCAAAGTTTGTTTGATGCGATCTATTTGCATTATCGAATTATCAGGTTATTTTTCTGATTAATAATTTAATCCAGGGGCTTTGATGTAACAGTAAATATAATGTTGCTCTGCAGACAGCTGTGTGCTACAAGTTGAGCCCTTGTTATTTTAGCCTACATTTATACATTTTCCCAAATTTGCACCTTAGAAGGTGATAAGAGACATTTTCCACAGGAGTGGTTTGACATGAACTAATAGGGTAAACAGGTGTTCCCAATGATACTAATTAAGGCTCTGTTCCATTTAGTGTAGCAGAGACTTTTCAGTGAGCCAGCAGGCACAGTAGCATCACCCTGACTCTTTAGTTCATTGTGATTAATATCGGGTGTTTACCCTACTGTTTAAAGTGTGGGGCGCCCTGGTAGCTCTCCTGGTACAGCTGGCGCCCCACGTACCCGGGCCGAGTCCCCGCTGCTGCAGCCAGGGGGTTGAATCCAACCTGAGGCCCTTTGCTGCACATTATCCCTATTCTCTCTCTTCTCTCTCCCCCTTTTCTTGAGCTGTCCCATCATACACATAAAGGCAAAAAGCCCCACATTTTATATATATTTTAATAATTTTTGGACCAAAAAAGCCCAGTCTAGTCAAAAAGATCATATTTACCACTTGTGACTGGAAGTTAATCAAATCATCACAGAGTTTATTTCAATAATGGTATATCTCATCCATAAAATAAGGGGCGGTATGTACAGAATGAATCATTAGGTCAAATAATAACTTGCACTTTCTGGAGTTTTAAATTAAATATATTAGAACCGTTTATATATGATTACAATAAAAGCAAAGCAAACTATTACAATCATCTGTGTCTGAATCATGATTAAAACAACTTTACCACCAAGATCCACATTTTGGGTTATAATGCCTCCACATTAATTCTTTTAAGTCCCGCTTTCAAGAGTGTGAGGCTCTGATGACAACTTCAGCTGGTTGCTCAGTCCATTCAAACTACGTTAATCCAGTTGGGTCCACTTTGATCCAGTTAGAGGGAAAGCACATGCTCCAGGGACCTCGAGCTGTTGTTGTTTTTTTAACACATGGGCTGCTGCTGTATTCCAAAAAAACCTAATGTGACACCGTCAACACAGGACAAATAACGACCAAAATGAAGCAATTTGATCATTATAAAAACATCAAGCTGGTCCGCTAAACAAACTTGTCCAAATGTTCACAAAGCCTTGTTCACTGCCCTCCAGAAAACCATCACCGGCAACTTGTCAAAAATATAATGCGATTCATTGCAGGCCATGCATTTTCAGTTTACTGTTACAGAGTGGTCAGTGTCTGTTCCCCTTATGTCCTATAAGCTCCTCTAGCTGGTAAGAACGGCATTTAACGAAGCAAACCTGAAATTAGTGACTTTCCAACTATTTCTGAGGCAGAACTGCAAACACATCAAAGTTTGCTCAAAATACCCCTATACACGTTCTTACCAACAAGAGGAGCATGTGGGTTTCAGTGTTAGCAGACACACCAAACTACTAAAACAAGAACCAAAAGCCTTGTCCCCAAACACTTGATCACATGACATTGTTGACCAGCTGCAGGTGGTTTGTGGTTGGCCAGCCTGTGCACACCGTGGCAATCAAAGCCAAATGTAGAGCTTCTTTTGGTCGTACGTCCATAATTTTATCTGACCACAGCAAATTGACACTGCCAGCCTCTGCTCACACCATCGCATTAATCACCCAACTGTTAACACGCAGTCTTAGTCTCGTTGATACAGAAGAGTCCTCTCAGCATTACAGTACAGTTAAACTGCTACACAGGGCTGAAGATGTCAACATTCAAGTGGAATCAGCTTCGTGGCGAGCATGTAAAAGCAATACCATTGACATCACCGTACACTACGAGCCCACTCCTGGCCTCCACCCTGCATGCTTTGCACCTCCCTCTGCTCAGCAAAGGGAAAAGGTCCGTTAATTTGGAGCCATTGTGCTCTGTAGAAAGTCTCATTGATTCATAAGGTCCAGTTCAGTCCAGTTGAGCGTCGAAACAGGAAATATTTAACATAGTACAGTAGAAGTCCCATAAGCAACACGAGTAGTTAAAGAGGGATCCGGGGAGTTCACCAAGGGAGGCATCTTGACAGATATAGGTGCCTTAACTTGAAAACCAAGGCATTTGTTAGGGTTCCAGTAACTTGGAGTAGGGCTCGGGGGCGAACGGTGAATGGCCTCCAGCCGGCCACTGGGAGACAAGAGCAACACGCCATCTCATTGTAACTTGATGAGAGAGGAATTACAGGCAGCACAGACAAACACAGTCTCCCTCTGGGCCTCTGGAGCTGAAGAAGAAACAATAACACAATAAGATCACAAGTCAAAGAACTGAAACATTAACTGTCATGAACTTTTATCAATCCAATAAAATGCCTCACCTGTTGCCCCCATGCAAGACCTCAGCACCTTGAAGGAACAGCATCGGGAACAGAAGCTGTTGCCACAGTTACTGCAGTTCCTCTGTAATATGAAGAGACACTGTGTTGAAGCTTGTGCCAATAAAAGACAAAATTAAACATGGTGATGACGTGAAGCCTAAATATATCACCAATTCTTATCACAAGTTTAAAGTCTCACCCTTTTCTTCAGCACCGAGAAGACGGCATTGCAGCTAGAACAGTTGCCTTTGGAGAATGAGACAGCGAGATGAACAGTATTATGAAAAATGTAATAAAATGCACCTGGTGAGAGTTACAGACTGACCTCAGAAAGATTCTTCTTTTATCACTGAGGTATAATAAGAAGAAATAAACCAGCGGATGAGTCAGAGCAGACTGACCTGTGCTGGTTGTTGGGTAACGTTTACGCAGTTTCTCTGTCAGTTTGGACACCTTGCTGCGTATTGGTTCATTGCGGCTCAACAGTCCATTTTCAGAGATGGTGTCATACTCAGGTGCTCCGAGCGGTCCGTCATCATCCTCCTGAGGGAGAGGGAAGAGGGGGATGGACAAAGAAAAAGGCAGTTTCATGCTGTGTAAGCTACAGTAAATGGAGTTGTTTTTTTTGGACTATGAAAGCCTGGCCAAGAAACAGAGCCAAGCTCAGCATTAGGGTTTAACTGGATAAAATTCACTTTGATTATTTCAGGCAGTTTGACTAATAGATGTTTGGCAAATAATTCAAGCAGGATGATGGGAGCTACTAGGACGACTAGGGAGACAGATGAAGGTGGAAAATGCATGTATTTACCAGTAAAATACATGTACAGTATGCATGCTTATACAGCCATACTTTATCTATCTGCCAAACACAACGACACCAAACCCCCGAAGAGCTGAGAGAAAAAACTATTTGTATCATTATATCCTTGTAATGCTAACTCTGTTAAGATATAATAATTGTTGCTTAACCCGCTATACCTAACTCCATTTATATCTCTCTATATACCTACATGTCCCCCAAATTCAACTTGTTAATAGATCTATTCGCCGCTTCCTGGAAACCAGAGGCCAGGCGGTCATAGCACAAACCAATCCACTGGAAGGCACAATTACAACAAGAGGACTATGGGATTAAGAGGACAAAGAAGAAGTAAAAAGGATTTTTATTGCCAAAGAAGACCATCCTACCCACCCTCAACAAACAGGGCTTTAGGGGAACAGTATTTTACTAATATATATATAGTTATAAGGAAACTCTTATGTATCACAAATAAAGAATATGCCTCTACACATAGCGCTAGGTTATAAAATGCTTTCAATAAAACACACAAACACTGCATCAATCTTTCTGAAATGGTTTGAGGGAGGAAAAGCTGATTTCACTAATGCAATATGTCTCATGAACAATGTCAGTCATGCAGACTGGGAATGAATGATGGGCTTATCATTATCACTATCACATAACTGGTGTCAAGGGACCAACTACATGAACGGATGGATAGATGGATGGGAGGCACTGGGAAATCCACTTACCACTATGACCAAAGGTGTTTCCTAATCAGAAAGCAGAGCAACACACGAGAACAATGTTACCCACAGACACTGACACTCTGTGTGATCACACAGGAACATACCCAAAACCATGCTTCAAAGAGCAAAGCAAGAACTACACCGTCAAGGTCACCAAGCTTTCAACACATGTTGTTCATGTGTCAAGTAGTAGTTCTGTAGTGCGAGTTAACTGGGTGGCAGTGCACTAGGCTCTTGTAAACAGGGGGGGGATTGTCACTCACCTGCAGGGACATTGAATGCTCCTGAGATCAGAGGACAGCGGAAAAAAACAGCAAGTAACAGGACATAAATCATGAGGAGGTTTTTTCACACAATGATGGCAAGCTCTTACAACTGGGATTCAAATATGTAAAGCAGAGAGCCGTTCTGGCCATCAGATTGATTATTGATGAAAAATGTAAACAAATTATATGCATGTATAATGGTCACTCTTAATCACTATAATGTTTGTATAAGTTAACTCCATTGGGCTCTATGGTTGCTAATATACATAACATAGATAAGGTGGATGGGCCAACGAGAGATGAGCGATGAGCTAGACAGTCAAACACCGTGTATTTCTCTGCCTGTGTGTGATGTACTTTCGCCAGATGTTTGGAGAGATTACTCGGGTTTCCGCCGTTACAGGAAAAAGACTTGTTGCACCGAGCACTCTCCACAATCTGCATCCACTCTAGTAAAGTGTAACCACGCTCATGAGCGTCTCACAACCAGGGTCTCTGTGTGTGTGTGTATCTGCACATGTGAGAGACAAACAGAGAGAGAGAGAAAGAGAGAGAGAGCTCACCCTGCCGGAGCACACTACGGTGTCTGAGAGAGTGATCTCTCGCCTTGATTGGGAATAGTGAAAATGCATCATGGACGAATGTCTTCATTTTACCAGCACTGACCAGTAGGACTGATAACATCGGAGCTCGTCGATGTTACAGTGTTTAATAATTTAACCTCGTTGATTTTTGTACCCGTCTCTAATCTACACACAACAACTAAAACCTCTCATTTATACTAGAATTCAAACTCTTATCATGGCCCACTGAATCCTATTTGCTTTAATCATCCTTAAAGTATCTCTTGATTGACGTCCACCTGGGGCATTGTCAACTGTCAATGTACTTCAAACAGACAGATAACAGATTTGGGAGTAGTATTTACCTCAATGGCATCCTTGAATTCATCATCAGGCTCCGCCTCCTCAGCTTCCTCCACGCTGCCAGGAGTAATGTCCTCAAACACACACACACACACACAAAAATTAATATATAAATACTGGTTTTTATAGTATACTCCAGACAGCTCCTGTAGCCCTGGCCGTCAGGATCAGCACCTTGGAGAGCGGCCGTGCTATAATGTATCTGAGCTGTTCAGGAAACAGTACGATGTTTATTTATTATGATTTTTTTTATTTATTTTGCAGTTCACAGGCCTCCAAGCAGATGCAGTCACATTAATCTGAACCCCTGTCAATGCCTTTGCTGAATAAAATCACAGCTAAAAAAAAAGTGGCGCCGTGGATAGATGGAGGAAACCATTGCATGGATTTACATTACTCGTGCTGGATAAATGCATTGAGAGCATGGGATAAACTAGATAAGAAGCTTACAGCCATGGTTGGTTTTAATGTAAATCACAACCTCTAAATCTTTCGGCATTCAAACCCTCTCTGCCGTGCTCCCTCCTCTCACCTCCAGACTAGTTGGTGTGGGGGTCCTGTCCAACAAGTTGCCCTGCTCCTGCTCTTCACACACCCCGTCTGAGGACCGGGCTTGGCCCATGTGGGAAAGCTTCTTGAGGTCCAACAAAACTGGAACCACAGGAGAAACAACACTTTACGTCAGCTTTATTTTCTTAAATTAGAGTTCATGTGTGCCCTTTGCATCTTCCAGACAGGATGAACCAACCTCTGCAGAAATCTCTGTTCCACAGGAAGATGGTGCTGTTGAGCCCAGCGAGCACCCAGCTCACAGGAGCAACGTAGATCAGACACGCCAATATTAACATCCCTCCATAGAACCTGCAGGGAGGGATTACAAATGTCAGGTCACACTCACACAAACCACCATCATAAGTGATCCATCAGACAGTACATTCTTGTGATGAGTAGGTCGCCATTAAATGCAGTTAACGCTGTAACCACTGACCTAGGCTTGGATAAAACTGTATTTAAATTAAGGTGTTTATAAATAGAAATAGAATAACATACTACAGAGCACAGCCCAATGAAGTAACATTAAGTTACAATTTGAATTTAAAGATAGAATGCTCCACATCTCTATTTAATTATGCTTATACCAAATATAACCTTATTTGGTTTAAGGTAATCACGAAATGCTGTTTACATTTCTTACCAGTATTAGTTAGTGGTTAATAAGTCTGTGCACATGTGGCCAATAACAACAATTAGCACAGACAAAGAAAAACTGATCTGTTGTGAAGTAGTCCATGAGTAGAACAGTAGTAATGATCAATGACTCTGCTGCTGAGTAGTGACTACTCAACTACAGGTGATACTGTCCTTGTGAGTGTGTGAGTGAGTGAGTGTGTGTAGATGCAGACCTTGATGACTTGGTGTGATTATCCCAGTATAGGACCTTGTAAATAGCTTCTGCCGACACACAGGCAGAGGACAGCATGTCATCCAGGTGCTTCAGCCTGGTGAAAACAAAAAAACAGAAGCACAAACACTAAGTAAAATATATACTTCCACCCACACATGGATAAATACCGTGTACTAATGTCTCATATACATATGACATGTGGGTACAAGCCAGTTTGTAAATCTGTTCCAAAAAGTACAACTAACTGATATTTTTTTCACTTTAATTTGTCACTATTTATTTTTAATCAAATCATAAAGTGTTTATTTATAATTGCTTTAATTTATAATGGAATAAAACAGAGAAAACTAGCTCATTTAAATGTGTTCTGTGTTACTTCAAAGCTGAGCTGTAGCGTACTGTTTTGATTTGATTTCTTTCTTTAAACAGCCTCGAGGATACACATTATTTTATGTGTTTTGCATATGTTTTATCTAATTGTGAAGCTGTAGCCAACCATTTTTCCAACAATAACTGTGATGTGGAGGTGCAAAACACCATGCCACCAAGTGAAGTGGCGTTAATTTAACTTTTTTTTTT